TAGATGAGAGTGGAAGGGTATTGGGGGTGCTCTAATCAAAGTTCCAGCCTCTAAATTAAATGGAATATCCAAGGCATGACATTTCTTCATTTCATCTAAATTACTTCCTTAGATAAACACTAGTGAGGTAACGATGAATCGCGCCCTTTTAAATTATTGTATCCAGGAAGGTCCTACTAATGTTTGTTTTATATAGTCAATGTCACAGAGATAGGATCAACACTTGGTTTGGGGCATCCATCTATTTTCATTATGTCAACTTGCGGGAGGAGTTGTTACTAGTGAGGAGATTCTTCGTCCTTCGAAACCAATCTCGGCAACAAATATTGAGTTATATAGTTGGCATGCTAATGCTGGAAAAGGATCAAATAAGGGGCAACCTAGTTCTACTTTTTATCCATCACGCCCTCCTACTCAAAGGGAAACTTTTGCACAACATTTGGAAAGAGTAGGGGATGATACTGCAATTCTATATGGCGAGGTGTATAGATTCAATGAGCATTTACCACACTTTGATTAAAAAAAAAAAGATGATTTGACCATCGAGCCCAGTTTCGGGCTGCTCAAATAGAAATGTATAGGCAAAATCAGTGGATTGGGGGTGACTGAACAGTGGAGTTCCCTGTGTATCCTCCATACCAGTTATATGAGCAGAGCAGGGCAATGGAGGAGGATTCAGAGGAGGAAGCTGATGCTGAAGCTGGTGGTGATGTTGATGATGATGATGAGTGGATTTTTATATTGATGTGATGTACTGATATCTTTATTTTTCTTGTTGTTGAATTATTGTATTTACTTTTTGTTCTATTGTACCAAACATTCTCTCTTGGTTTTGATGTACTGTATTAGTATTTATTGTTGCTCTGTGCTTTGGACTTTATGTGAACTTATCTATTTAATATTTTAGTTTTTTTAATGCAAATTTCATGTTAAACACGTTGAACTGAGATTCACTTACTGCTGCATACTTATATTTTTTGTTTATACCTATATATTTCTTATGACCGACTCATGTTGTAGAAAGTAATTCAGTTCTATTTTCTCCTTGCTTAAAATTCTGTCATGAATGTTATAAATGCTTAAAAATAAGTTTGGGGTGAGGGGAAATTTTTTTTTAAAAAACTTAACTTTATTTGTCCTCATTAACCGACATTTAAAATTGTTATGTTTCTAAAATGACTTGAAGTATGTAGCGTTAACTTTAGATTACTTTAATTTTAATTATAGGAATGACATAGTAGATTTATTTTAAGTTCTATGTAAATAAGATTATTCTAGAGTTAAGTTATTTTGTAGATAACATGTAGAAAAATGATTTTACTATTTATTGTAGAAATTAGTTGTATATTTGAAAAACTAGTATTCCTTATATTTACATCTTATTAGAAGAATTGAGCCTTTATTAAAAATTTATTTTGACTAATACTTTCAATTTTTGAAAAAAAAATTAAAGATGAAGGAGAGTGATAGGTTTAACTTTGAGTAGATGTCAACGAAATTCAAAATCATTAAAGATCTACTCAGATATAGTAATCCTCCTATAGATGTGTTAAGAATTGAAAAAGATCCTAAAGAAAAAAAATAAAAAATTATATGAAGGGAGGAGAAGCCTGATTAAAAATTGGATTCACTTGAATTATCTTAAAGCAAAAGACATAATTACAATCTTAAACTTGTTTATATTTCAAAAAGTATAAGTCAAACTTTATGATTAGAGTATTTTAATTTTATTTTCTATACCTTCTAAGGATCCTAAATTTGACAAATATCAATGATTTTCGAAGTAGATAGAAAATCAGGATTTCTAAGTTGAATACAAGTTTTTTTATATCCTAGTTCTAGGCTGATTTACTAAATTTTTTCTTAAGTTACACTATGACATTCCTAAGGCAAAGTTGTTGATAATTTTAATGAAACTCACTTCCTCAAATTAATAAAATTAATTTTAAAAATACTGGTGTTACTTGAGAACAAGTAACGTTTGAGTTTAGGGGATTTTGATGTGTTCTAAAGTTTGCTTAATTTGCTTTATATTTTGCACTTGTTTATGGATGAAATTGTACTTTAAAGAAAGATATTTTTTTTTGTTTTCCTCGCAGGTATAACAGGTAGGACATATGGAGCGAATAAGAGCTGAAATGAAGTGAAGTGGAGGCGAAACAGAGCATATTGGAACCAAGAAACTGGCGCCTAGGCACCAGCCATTGGATGCCAAGGCGCTCCACCCAAGCGCCTTGGCACCAGTTTACTGGGTGCCTAAGCGCCATAACCCAGTCGAGCAAACTTAGGCGCCATAACCCAGTCAGGCAAACTTAGGCGCCAAGGCGTTGGTTAGTTTCTGGGCAGTTTTTTGTAGTTACTTCAGCACGACTTAGGGAGTTTTGTGGTGTATTTAAACAATTCGAGGGAGCATTGGAAAGCATTCTGGAGCCTTGGAAAGTGAAGGATGACAGATTTGTCGTAGTGTGAAGTTAGGGTTTTATATATTCCACCTTTTTAGAGAGATTAGATAGGAATTAGAGAATTTTGTATGGAGATATACTCAGCATTGTGGGGAGCACCTGGAAATCTTTTGGGGAGAAATTTTCATCTATTTTCTGAGGGAAAAAACCAAGTATTGTGTTCTATGTTGTCTTGTACTGTTTGTAAACACAATTTTAGTGGATTTGTTTTGTTGTTAGATGATTTGTGATGTTTTCTTCATGTGTTATGAGTAGATCTTTCTTATCTTTCTCTTGTGATGAATAAGTTGAATGTGTAGGATGTTAGGATGCCTATAGAATTGATCTTTAAACATCAATGTGATGATTATTTTTCAAAACATAATTTACTTTTCATAGTGGCCATATGAACTATTAAATTTGTTGTGATCCATTATGACTCGGAAGGGGGGTGGGGGAAAGATTAAAGTAGTGGGTGATAGAAAAGTAGTTCATTGGGCGATGCAAGTAGATTAAGAAATAGGTTTTGATAGGTTCAAATTGGGGTTTAAGGAATTAAAACCAGTGTAACCAAACTACTTTATGCACTCAGGAGAGGGTAAAGTAGAGGATTGATATTATTTGTCACTAGCCACATTTGCAATTTGAAGTATCTATTCATACACAATCATTTATATCATCACAAGAGAGGGGTGGTTACTTTTATATCTTGATAATCACCGATCCAATTAAGTTATGTAGGTTTTAACTTTAGAATTAATTGAAGTAGTGTAGAAGTAGTGGGTAGAATTTTCACCTAATAATAATTCCAAATTGCGTCCTAAAAGTAGTAGAATAAAACTTTTCTTAAAGGATTTATTACCTTGTTCTCTGTGAGATCGACAATCCATACTCAATAGAGCCTTATATTACTAAAACAATACGTAACGTGAGAAACCTCAATGTGCAAAAACGCTAAATTTTAAGAACTTAATCAAATTGTTAGGGAGTGGATCAAGTTTTTAGTTCTGTTTTCAGAGACTTGCATTATTGTGATAATAGTTGAGGTGAATCATATGTGCATGACTGATTATGATGAAGTCACTCATTGAAGATACTAATGTGGGAACACTAAGATACTCGTGCATGTATATGAAAAAGAATATTAACATTGATGTCTTAGTTAAAATAATTTTTAGACGGTACTCCTATTATGGTTGGAAATATATAGAATAATATTGATATGTTATTAATATAGTAAGATTTTTTGAATAACTTCAAATGTTTTTATTGGTTTAATAAAAGCTTGGCTGACATGCATATTGTTTTAAATTAATATTTCAAGTTTAATTAAGTTATTTAAACGATAAGCCATAGAAGAGGAAATGTTTATAGAAAACGTGTTTTAAATTAAAATTTTCTATTTATTTATTGAACTTCGAAACATTTGTCAATTTACTCATATAAATGCATATAAACAAGTCACAAGTGAGTATGATTTATCTTTGAGTTTTATATGATTGTTCTCTTTTATTCCTTTCTGTGTTTTGAAAATATATTAGCAGTCTTACAAAAAAGGGGCATTTACATAAAACACAATCCTTATACATTTACATATTTAAGACCTAAACTCGCGTCTTTGCAGACCGCTCGAATCATTAATATCACATTAAAAATATTATTATTATTAATTTTTTTATTTGTGAGATGTAATTTTTCATGCGTTATTTTATGACACCACAGGGTTATACATGTAAACATCAAACATCTGGTGCTAGATATGTAAAATCAAAGGATATGTATGTACATTTTCAAGCGGATTAGTCATGGTGAATTTTGATGGTGCTGTAGGAGTGATTGATGCTGAGGTTTCAGTGCAATTATGCAAGCTACAAGGAGCTATACGGGCTATAAAAATGTATTATAAGCAACGTGGCGCCAACTTTTGAAAGATAGATTTTTTGTAGAGGTGGATATGTTCCTCTACAAATGCCCTTGTTACAATTATCAGTATATAATTTTAATAAATTTAGTCGTACAAAAATTTGTTTAGTTAGTATACAGTTTAAAAAAATATTTATAATATTTTTTTAATATAATATTTAAATTTATTTTAGTTATTAAAATAACAATTAAGTTGGATCAGGATAAAATTATCAGCTAGAATCTCGACTAGCCAGTAAGGCCATGGACTACATGCTACATCTAGATTTGGAGATATATGATTAAGTGTGGGTTAAAATATGGCTTTCTACATACAACCCAATCTCTATAAATTTACATATCTAATGCCTGAACTTTGTTTCTTACATTTATACCAACCAAAATTTTCCAATCTCAAGAAGACCAAAAAATCTTTATCGCTAATCACCACCAACATTATTGTCGCCCTTTATTTCTGAGCCACCATGAAAAGTCACTGCGCCTATATTTCACCATCAAACTATCTACGTAGGTATTATTCTATTCAACAAAAACTATGAAACATTTAAATTCAATATTATTTAGACAAAAATTATTTCAACAATAATGTTCAGTTAAATATAAACCTTCAGGTTTGTTACCATCCCGCTTAAATATTATGATATTTTACATAATTACAGCAAATAGTAACTAAAGTGTTTTGCTTATAACCTAATTAGCAGCACATGCATGAAAACATGCCACTACTTATACACAGATTTGTATTGTTCAAAAATTACAGAAACTGCTCAAATGCAATTTTAAAAAAACCGAAAGAGCAAATTAAACCAAGAAAAACTATCCTTCAATATATGAACAAAATATAAATCTGTTTCATGAGAAAAACTAAGATTTATATATGAGCGAATATTACCTGTAGAATTCGCACGTACAGATTTGTGGTATTGTAGTGATACCCCGCAATCCGCACATACCTACCTATCCACCTGTAAATAACAGCAGCCACCACTACTTTCTTCCACCATTGATGCCGGCGCCATCGCCGCCGGAAGTGCCCCACAGGGTGGATGCATTTCTGGACTTGAGACTTCCATCAGGATTCCTCAACTCTATAATACCCTCGAATAACTTGTCCGGTGAGATGTAGGGTTTCGGGGCCGACGATGATCCCGCCTGCTTCGAATTATTAGGATTTGCGTAATACTGTCTCGAACCTATCGAGTTGTTGAGCCTCTGAATGGCATCCGAATCCAGAACTGGTACAGGAGCAGCGGGAACTAGAGCCATTGAAGTCTGCGAAGCAGGAAACTGGGAGGAGGTTGGAGGAGCCATTGAAGACTGAGAAGCTGGATGCTGAAAGGGAGTTGCCGGAACAGAAGAAGGCGTGGCCATGGCCGGATACTGGACAGGGGCCGTCGATAGGAATGGATTTGAAGTGATTCCAGGAGGAGGCCATGATGGAGCTTGATAGTTATATGGGTATGGCATCATCTGCTGCTGAGGAAAAGCAGGAGGTACCAGTGCCGGTGTTTGAGAACCTGCGGATTGAGCCCATGGCGCGACGTAACCGTTGTTAGTTGCGTAGTTACCGTTCGATGTGATGGGCTGAGGGTTGTTAGGATACTGCTGCGGATTAGGAGAAGTGGAGAAGGGGTTTTGATTCTGGTTCGATTGAGGAAGAGGGGAGGACGGAGTTTGCGGAGGCAGGTCGGTTGACAGAACCAGGCTAAGGAGATCGATCATGTCGTCTTCTTTCTTCAAGGCAGTATCATGAGCTGGAGGATCGAAGGGGACTAATGCGTTGGTTGCAATAGATGATGAGGCTTCGGAAACACCGGAAGTTGAAGTTGGGGTGGTGATATCGCTATGGTTTGGAGAGACCGCCAGTTGATCGCCGGCTGATTTTAACTTGGAATCTCTGCAGAAATCGAAAGATTTTTAGGGTCATTAACGGAGTTTGAGATGTTAGGTGAGTGATGCCGGAATTGGTTGAAATACCTGCGAGCTAAAGAAGACGAGTCATCTTCTTCTTCGTCTTTATCATCGAAATGCTGAATTGCAGGAACGGATGGAGGAGGAAGGCTTGGTATGGAAATTGATTGAGCTATATTGGGCGGCAGAGGTGACCCGGAAGCTATGGCATCATGCCTTGCTAGTGCAGTTTGTAAATTTTCAAACAATGCAAGAGCTTCTCCCAGTAGCTCTTCATTCCTGCCAATTACATCAGGTTCTTCGTTCAATCTTTACATCCTTCAAAATTTTAATTACCAGGAAGAAAATAAGAAAGTGATGCCACATTTTGGATCATATATATACATATATTGAAAGAATGGCCGGAGGCTATTATACGAGCCCCAGACATCCCTCATGCACCTAAGAATTCGAGTGCCACACCCTACACTCCGGGGGAATCGAACCCCAGATCAGAGGGGACTTATAACTGATAAACAAATGCCCGACCGTCTGATCTGAGTACGCGGCGCATTATTAGACCAGAGGAAAAGAGTAGGTAAAGATTGGTAGAGAAGAGGGGAGATTCCCTATTTGTAGATAGGGATCTGAGGCTCTAGCCATATTAGAAATGCTACAGAATGAGCTATATATATATACTATATCATAGTTGACTTCAATAAAATTTAATTAGTGGAAAAACAACCTACTAAATTTGAACAACAAAATTAAATATAAAAATTATGCAAAATTTGGTCAAAACATGATGAGTGAATGCTTTAGCTTCTATAGCAGATCAACATACAAGATTACAACTTATCTACAATGTAGGTTTGGCACTAACAATACTGGCTTTTTAGACTCTTAAAATATCAACATGCCAAGAGTTTCTCTATGGGGAACTTTACCTAAAAATAGTAAAATTAAATAATCAAAATTGACTTACTCGGTTGAATTAATCAGCTGCATAAGCTTCTTTTGGTTCACGCGACACTGGCTGGCGAGATCTGTGATAACTTCATCATCAACTGCCTACAACACATTAAAATATGCCGGTTTTGTTTAAATTCTCCAATCAACAGAATCCAAACAACAATTTGTCGAATCTAGGCAAAATTAAACAAAGAGAATGCAGAAGAACAAAAATTTAATTGTCCAGGAGGAAGAATTTATGTACCGTGCGATCTTCTGGGTTCACTGCCCGCAGCATATCAATGAACAACTCGGTAACACTTCGGATGTTTTTCAAGTCTGATAAACTGAGGATAAAATAATGGAAGCTGGAATAAGAACAAGACGGAAAATAGCAGATATACAATGCCAAATTTCAAACCAACCCATCAACATTGCCACTATCAACCCCTCCAAACCAATAACAAGAAAGATTTACATACATACCAGTGAATTACTATGAATTTGCATATCTAACACCCATACTTCAATTTTTACATATCTGCCACTTACCTATGCATGAAAAGGTGGTGTATTTCACCTTTTTAAAAGTTAAGATGATGACATTTTTGATATAATATGAAAATTTTGGGTGGTGTTAATGGAAAAAAATTGAAGTTTGTGTTAAATATATAAATACATAGGAATTGGGTGGAATGTATGTAAATGTTCCTAATAAGAAAAAAAGCAGCAG